CTGAATGTGGTAGCAGTTACACAGCAGCAGTATAATTGATAAATTTATCAAATTGCTCACTCAAATAAAATGGAAAAAGAGAGAAGATATTTTTAATTTTGATCAGAGACAAGGGCTCACTTTCCTAAACTATAAAAAGCTCTTAGAAATCAATGAGGAAAAAAAAGGACCACAGCTCAATAAAAAAAATAAGCAAAGGAAATGAATAGTTCATTTACCAAAAAAGAGAACAAACAATTCCTGTGTAAATTTAAACAACTCTTGACCTCATTGATAGGAGAAATGTAAATGTTAAATTATACTGAGAAACCATTTTTCACACATAGGATTGTCAAGAATTCAAAAGCTCAGTAATATTGAATACTGAAGATTATATGGAAACAATCTCATAGATTCCTGGTGGACAAGTAAATGGCATTGACCTTACAGAAAAAAATTGGGCAATATTTGTAAAATCACAAATGCATTAACACCCCAGGAGAAATAGGAAAATTGAATAGTCCTATATTAATTAAAGAAAATGAATTCATAATTATAAACCCTCTTGGTCACTGGCTTCACTGGTGAATTCTATCAAACTCTTAAGGAAGAAATAATAGCAATACTATACAAACTCTTTCAGAAGATATAGGAGGAGGAGGAAATACTTCCTGACTCATTTTCCCAGGCAAGCATTAGCCCTGTTACCAAAACCAGGCAGTCATCATAAGGAAAAAAGAAAAAAGAAAACAAAAAACTATAGACCAATATCTTTCATAAACACTGATGTAAAATAAAATTTTTACAAATTTAATCTAACAATTTACAAAGGAACACTATATTATGACCAAGTAGGATTTATCCTGGGAATGCAAAACTAGCTTACTATAGTGAAATCAATTAACGTAATTCACTATATTTGTAAAATAAAGAAAAAAGGTCATTTGAATAGGTGTATAAAAAGCATATTTTGAAAACATACTACTCATTGTAAATACTATGAGGAATTGAAGAGAAGTCAAATAAACTTATGAACATCTTCAAAAACTCTTTAGATAGTATCATGCTCACTGGTAAAAGGCTCAATGTTTTCTATGTACATACAGGAACAAGGCAAGAATATACACTCTTATCACTTCTATTCAACATTGTACAGGAAGTAATACC